GGAAGCGTGGTGGTGGTCTACGCTGTGCTACAGCAACGAGCAAACTGCAAGATCTCTGGCTAAACACTGAAAAGTCTACCTCTTGCTCACACCAAGTCTGCCGCACGCTTGGTGGCTGTCCAGGGCAGCTGTCTTCCAAGTGGTAGCTCAGGAATCCAAATCTTCCTGTCTTGTGGCTCATTCATCTTTGCTGAGGACACGTCTTCCCCACTCCTGATGCTTCTGTCCGTGAGCAGAGAGCCCCGCTGGCGCAGAACTCGTGGTCTCTCTCCATGCCTCTGCTGATCTGATTGGTGAATGCGGAAGGAGAAACAAGGCGTGTGTACCCCGGCCCTCTTCTTCCTTTTCTCTGGGGAGCTGGCCCACCTGCAAAAAGTGTGTGTTCTGAACTGCTACGCCCCACCTCACCCTGAGTGTTACGGGGACAGCCCTAGCTCCACCGAGGGAAGAGGGATGCAGTTTCACCTCCTTCCGGGATTCAGCATTAGGTTCTGCCCCCTGTCCTAGTCCAAAACCTTGTTATTACGCCCGGGATGGCTTTGAATACAGCCCAGAACAAATTCATCAACTTTCTAAAACATTATAAGATTTTTTTTAAATGGCCAGGCACAGTTGCTCACCCCTATAATCCCAGCACTTTGAGAGGCTGAGTCAGGTGGATCGCCTGAGGTCAGAAGTTGGAGACTAGCCTGGCCAAAGTGGGGAAACCCGGTCTCTACTAAAAATACAACACATAGACAGGCAGGGTGGCAGATGCCTCTAATCCCAGCTACTCGGGAGGCTGAGGCAGGAGAATCCCTTGAACCTGGGAGGTGGAGGTTGCAGTGAGCCTAGATTGTGCCATTGCACTCCAGCCTGGGCAACGAGCGAGACTTCATCTAAAAAAAAAAAAAAAAAAATTATGAGTTTTCTTTTTTTTTTTTTTTTTTAACTCATCTGCTATCGTTAGTGTTACTGTGACTTATATGTGGTCCAAGACAATGTGGCCCAGGGAAGCCAAAAGATGGAAGCCCCTGGCCTACATAAACAATAGAGCTTGCACAAAAGCTCACTTACTTGTTCCACAGAGTTTCTCGTCATCTAAGACAGTGGTTCTCAACCCAGGATACTTTTACCTCCAAGTGGGATGTTTGACAATGCCTGGGGACTTTTCTTCTTTTTTTGAGACGGTCTCACTCCCGTCGCCCAGGCTAGAGTGCAGTGGTGGGATCTCAGCTCACTGCAGCCTCAACCTCCCAGTATCCGGTGATTCTGTCACCTCAGCCTCCCAAGTAGCTGGGACTACAGATGCACATCACCATGCCTGGCTGATTTTCTGCATTTTTTGCAGAGACGGGGTTTTGTCATGTTCCCCAGGCTGGTCTCAAACTCCTGGGCTTAAGCAGTCCACTCACTTTGGCCTCCCAAAGTGCTGGGATTACAATCGTGAGCCACCTCACCCAGCCTGGAGACGTCTGTGATTGTCACGACTAGGGAGGGACTACTGGTATCTAGCAGTAGGTACAGCAAAGCATCCTGTAATTCACAGGACAGCTTCCCACGACAAAGAATTATCTGACCCAAAATGTCAATAGAACTGAGGCTGCGGAAACCTTGATCCAAAGGGAGCAAGTGAGCATCGTGGAGCAGCTGAAGTGATTTAGTCCAAGTCCAAACCAGAGAGGAATTGGACCAGGACGGCCATTGAAGGCTGAGTAGCTCCATCCCCTCATCTCTGCCATTGCACCTCTCTGGCACACAGATCCCTTCCTGAGGATGCGATGAGGCTGCCACCAGCCCAGTGATCTGTCCAGGAGCCCTTTTGCCCCACTGCCTCTTCCAGATGCTATGATGGCGGGGCACCTCCCTGTGCTCCTGGTAGGAAGCGGGATGAAAGTGTCCTGTCTTCTCAGATCCCCAGCCCATCTCAGAGGTCTGCCTGTTGGCCCCACCTACCCCAGGGTGTGGCCTAAGGGCAGAACTAGGTGCAAGGCTCATCCCAGCACCTCACTTTCACCCTTCTCCCCAGCCCTTGCTCCACTTCCCAGCCTGGTGAATCTGCTTCTACTGGAGTTTCCAAGTCAGCCTCCTGGGCTAGGTGTGGGGCTGGGGAGTGGAGGGAAGGGCCTTCAAATAGACAGGAAGGCAGTAGGAACCCGCTTGACACCCTCCTTATATAAATAAACATTTGATAACGCCTCGCTTTCTCTCCTAAAATGACGATCACAAATAATATGCCTTCCCATGCACATATTTTTGAAAAAGCTATACTAGGGAGAAAAAATAAAAGGAAAGCAATTTATAACCAAGTAACACATATTTCAATCTGCCAGTGGTCAGGTCCCACAGCACTAGAAAACACTGAAGTGTCAGATGCTTGCCCTTGCATATCATAAATAAGTCTGAATTCAAGAAAAGTAGAGGATCAGAAATTATTCTGTGTAAGGACAAAATTAAATAAATAAAAGAGCAAAGATATGCTATCAAATGCTAGAAGTATTATTTTAAGGCTAGGCATGGTGGCTCATGCCCGGAATCCCAGCACTTTGGGAGGCCAACATGGGAGGATTGCTTGAAGCCAGGAGTTTGAGACCAGCCTGGACAATATAGCAAGACCCTGTCTCTACTAAAAATAAAATATTAGCTAGGCATGGTGGTGCACGACTGCAGTCCAGCTATTGGGGAGGCTGAGGTGGGAGGATCACTTGAGCCTGGGAGTTTGAGGCTGCAGTGAGCTGTGATGGTGCCACTGCACTCCAGATTGGGCATCAAGAGTGAGGCCTGTCTCAAAAATAAATAAATAAACAAATTTTTTTAATCTGTGTTTTTTTTTTTTAACTACGAAAACAGATCACCTTTTGTAGTCTGTAAATGTAAAAGGGAGATGGGGTGGTGGCTTACGCCTGTAATCCCAGCACTTTGGGAGGCCGAGGTAGGTGGATCATGAGGTCAGGAGTTTGAGACCAGCCTGGCCAATATGGTGAAACACCATCTCTACTAAAAATACAGAAATTAGCTGGGCGTGTTGGCGCACGCCTGTGGTACCAGCTACTCAGGAGGCTGAGCCAGAAGAATCACTTGAACCTACGAGGTGGAGGTTGCAGTGAGCCCAGATGGCGCCACTGCACTCCAGCCTGGGTGACAGAGAGAGACTTCATTAAAAAAAAAAAAAAAAAAAAAGGAGGCGGGGCTGAGATCATGGTAACAGAGTTTTCACCGATGTGAACAGCTGTCCCCGCCCACTAAATGGCAGCAGTGCTTTGCAGTCATTGTGAAATCAAAACGCTTCTCCCACATTGCTAGACTCATACACACACAACCTCCCCTCCCAGAACCACTGAGTTCATGCTTCAAATATTAACCTGACAAGTGAGTAAAATTCCAACTGAACATTTGGAAGCGTGTATGCCAAAATATTAATGGTGCTTTTCTAAAGCAGAAGGGGAATTACAAAAAACGTTCCTTTTTGTTTCCTTTCTTTTTTTATGTTCTGTATTGTGTAAAATCTTGCTTATCTGTAAGAACTTTGCAATCAGACAAAAAAAAAAAAAAAAAAAGTCGTTGAAACCAGTTTGTCAGGGCTCCCAAGGGTACCTTTTAGTGTGTGTGTGTTTCGTTTTTTGTTTTTATTTATTTATTTATTTATTTTGAGACGGAGTTTCACGCTTGTCTCCCAGGCTGGAGTGCGATGGCACCAATTGCAACTAACTGCAACCTCCCCCTCCGGGGTTCAAGCGATTCTCCTGCCTCGGCTTCCTGAGTAGCTGGGATTACAGGCATGTGTCACCACGCCCGGCTAATTTTTTTGTATTTTTAGTAGAGACAGAAATTTCACCATGTTGGCCAGGCTGGTCTCGAACTCCTGACCTCAGGTGTTCTACCTGCCTCGGCCTCCCAAAGTGCTGGGATTACAGGCATGGGCCACCGGGCCCAGCCCAGTTTTGTTTTGGTCCTTTCAAGGAGGATTCAAATCTGCTTGAATTGATGGAAACCACCAATTCACTTTTTCAAACGCCAAAACAACTCCGCAGGCCCGAGGAAGACTCACCTTGCAGGGCGGCCTGCCCAGGTCTCCAGGGAATCCAGCTCAGCTTAGCCCTATGACTTTGCTCGGCCCCGTCTGCACCGCCGCCCCGTGGCCAAGGACAGTACTGCGTCCTCCAAAAGGCGATGGCGGAGGAGGGGCCAGGGACCTTGCCCCAGGGGCAAGCTTCTTTCTGGCCCACCAACCACATGACAGTGTGGTGAAGTTTATGGACCCCTCTCTCAGTGTAATAGCGCCTAAGTATATAAATAAAATACATACGCTGGAAAAAAAAAAACTAATATTGGTGAGATGTTTCTCAAAACTCTTTATAAATATGTGATATAGTCAAGAGGGAGACCCAGGCATCTCAGATCAACATCCCCCTTTCATTCCTAAGACTGTAAACCGAAACCCTTTTCATATGTAATGCCTGAGACTGTAAACCGAGACCCTTTTCATATGTTAAGTTATAAACTCCTTCCTCCTGTTTTCGGTATCCGAGAGATCCGTTTCCCCGCTACAATGGTAATAGCTGTTTCATTATTAGAGCTGTAAATAACCAGGTCTGGGGGCAGGTCTAGTAACTCATGATTTTCCAAGCAGTGAGGAGTACACAGGACGTTTCGAGATATTTAAACTGATGTGCCAGTGTCTGTGATTGTAATTGGTAACAAAGCTGCAGGTACTGCTAACAGTACACTCCTAATAGGAGGAAAAGCTAAACATTAGAAGTCGGTGAGAGTCGATATGTAACTTTTTCCCATGCGAATACATGGACTCCTTGAATTCGACCCGCAGACCCCTTAGGGTGCACGGACTACAGGTTAAGAGAGATGCACCAGAGTGGGTTTTCAGTCCTGGGAGGTGAGCCGGGGTAGGCACGCGTGGGCGGTCATTAAAGGGAAGGCAGAGGCGCCCCCCCCACCCCCGCTGGGCCTACGGAGGGGTGACCCGCACGCCCCTCCCCTCGCTTCCTCAGCCTGGTTTCACGGGACTAGAGGAAGTTAAAGCCCCGCGTGGCTGAAGAGCAGCTTAGTTCCCAGCGTCTGCTCCCACGGTGTCCAGCGCCCAGAATGCGGCTTCTGATCCTGCTATGGGGTTGCCTGGTGCTCCCAGGTGAGATAGGGTGGGGGTCTTGGGAGGGATGTGGGGTTCACCCTTGGGGTCTGCAGGGGAAGGACCTCCTGACTGCCTGAGCCCCACCCCACCTATCCTCAGCCTCCTCAGCTCTAGGGGAGCCGGGCAGTGCAGGGGCGCGATTGCTGTTTCTGGAACCTAGAGCCAGGTTTTCTCCCACACCCGCGCGTTTCCCCTCCCGGCGAGGTGGCTGTGAGAGTTGCTTTGCCTCTCTGATCTTAATTTTTCTACCCTGTGCCAAGCCTGGAGGCAGACAAGACATCCCCATCTGATTGTCCTTTTTTTTTTTTTTTTTTTTTTTTTTTTTGAGACGGAGTTTCGCTCTTGTTACCCAGGCTGGAGTGCAATGGCGCGATCTCGGCTCACCGCAACCTCCGCCTCCTGGGTTCAGGCAATTCTCCTGCCTCAGCCTCCTGAGTAGCTGAGATTACAAGCACACGCCACCATGCCCAGCTAATTTTTTGTGTTTTTAGTGGAGACGGGGTTTCACCATGTTGACCAGGATGGTCTCGATCTTTTGACCTCGTGATCCACCCGCCTCGGCCTCCCAAAGTGCTGGAATTACAGGCTTGAGCCACCGCGCCCGGCCCTGATTGTCCTTTTAAACTCAGCAAATATTTGTTGAATCTCTACCGTGTGTCTCCCCACAACCCTGAGAGATGGAGAGTGATCACATTTTATCAGTTCTTTTGCTTTCTTTTTCTTTACCTTCAAACACTGAAAGTCAGGATGCATCCTACAACTGATGCCAGTTGTTCAGTTGGCAATAGTGAGATCCCATCTGTTTGAAAAAACAAAAAATTAGCCAGGTGTGGGGGTGCACGCCTATAGTCCTAGCTAGTGGGAGGCTAAGGTGGGAGGATCTCTTGAGTCCCAGAGGTCAACACTACAGTGAGCTATGAGCGCCCTGCCCTCCAGCCTGGGCAACAGAGTGAGATCCTGTCTACATACAAAACAAAAACCCAGAAACCCTCCTGGCTATCTGGCTACCAGATTCTATCTGAATCTACAGCGCCCCTCCCCACCCCATTCCTCAATGGGCCAGGGTTAGGGAAACAGCAGCAGCCCTACCCTAGAGCGGGAGAGGAGTACTGGACTTTCCAAGCCTGTCCCCAGAAGGGGTGACTAAGAAAAGCCTTCCTTCCTCCTCCTAAAATGGAAGCTCTGGCCTTGACCTTGGTGCATGGATCCTGGTTATTCCAACCCCGACTCCTGCTGTGATTTTAGGTTATGAAGCCCTAAAGTGCCCAGAGGAAATCAGCGGGTTCGAAGGGGACACTGTGTCCCTGGAGTGCACCTACAGGGAAGAGCTGAGGGACCACCCGAAGTACTGGTGCAGGGAGGCCGGCCTCCTCTTCTCCCGCTGCGCCGGTACCATCTATTCGGGAGAGGAAGGCCAGGAAACAACGGAGGGCAGGGTGTCCATCCGTGACAGCCGCCAGGAGCTCTCGTTCACTGTGACCCTGAGGGACCTCACCCTGAAAGACGCTGGGAAGTACTGGTGTGGGGTCAAAAAACTGGGCGGCGATAAGTATTTACCGATCACTCTGGTCGTCTTTCCAGGTAACAAATCTCTCTCCTTCCCTCTGGCTGGGGACAGGTGCTGCAGACGGAAGAGGGAGGGGTGGTGGGGCACAGTCCTGGTACCAATCTTATTGCCTCAGGGAGACCATGCAGGTCAAGCGCTGAGCAAGGCCTGGGGCACAGAGGGAGCCGCATAACTCTTGACCGCTCTCGCTCTTGCCGCCCAAGGTACCACTAGTAGATGTCAGAGCAGAACTGGACCCAGATCTGTCCAGTGCTGGGCTCGGCGCCTTTCCTTTCTGCCCAGATGTACTGGAGGGAGAGTTCCATAGGTTGGGTACAAGATGGACATACTGGGGATAAAGAAGACTCCTTGCCTGGTTTCTAAGATATTCCTGAGCACAGAGCCACCCCTGAGCCCTGACCATGCTGGCCTCACTCTGCTTGCACCCTCAACGCTCCCCTCCTGGCCTCCACCTCCCCCGATCTTCAAGTCCAGGCACAGGTGCTAGAGTGCTTGGGAACCAGCCTCTGGGTAGGGTGCCTGAAGCAGGAATTGTTAAATGCAGGGACACCAAGGGGCTGGGGCTGGAGCCATGGGGCCCGAGCAGAGGATAGAGCACCTCTCTGGGTGCCCAGAACCCCACCTGGATCTGCTGAGCAAAAGGAGAAAGAAGCCAGAGAGGGCACAGGGCAGTGGAAGCCTTGGTGTGCTGGCCAGTGAGGGCGAGGTAGGTCTTTGTAGCCCCATTTCACAGATGAGGGACTGAGGCTCCAAGAGACTAAGTGATTTGCCCACGGTCTCACAGCAGGAAGTGGTGGAACCAGGATTCTAACACAATCATCTCCGGCTTTGATGTCTGCTTTATTCCTCTCCTGGCCCTCTAGCTGGGATGTATCCCAAGCCCAGGCCCAGGCCCACCACCAACAGATCCCCTCATTATTACTTTTTTAGTCCTTTCTCCATGGATCTTTATTTTAATTTAGGGAAATAAAGTTAAACTTGCCAAATAGCAGCAGCATCAAACCACATTGAATCTGTTCTTCATCATATACGAGATTCTCTTACCTCTTCCAATTCTTACCAGTATTCACAGGTCATTTTTACCAGTTATGATCAAGTTTACCTGTGTTTTCTATTTACCCTCATTTGTAATTGTTTGCATATAATGTGTACATTACTATATTACCGTCTTAGCTCAGACTTTGTTGGCCTCTCTCTGATGGCAGTTGGGCTATTAAATGAAGGAGCCTCATGACAGTAGTGTGCTGGTAAATGCTTAACAGGCTGGGGGATGCTCTCATTTGTAGTGTTTTTCGATTTCTGTGGTGTCAATGCTTCTCCCAGGGCCAATTTCCAGCCATCCACAGTTTAACAACTATCTCACCAAGTCCTGAAAAGTTAGCTATTAGCTTTTATGAACCAGTGCGAGCCATCTCAGCACACCACTGAGTATGGTGAAACATGAGAATTTCTAGGAAGGTCAGAAAAAGACAAATGTACCCCCTATCGTTTCTTTTCTTTTTATTTATTTATTCATTCATTTGAGATGGGGTCTCATTCTGTCATCCAGACTGCAGTGGAGTGACATGATGTTGGCTCATTACAACATCTGCCTCCCAGGCTCAAGCAATCCTCCCACCTTAACCTCCAGAGTAGCTAGGACCACAGGCACAGCCACCACGCCTGGCTAATTTGTGTCATTTTTTTTTTTCAAGGTGTGGTTTCACCATATTGGCCAGTCTGGTCTCAAACTCGTGGACTCAAGCCGTCTTCCCTCCTTGGCCTCTCAAAGTGCTGGGATTACAGGCATGAGCCACTGCACCTGGCCAGTCTACTATCATTTTCTTTTATTCATCTTTGCCTGAAGGCTCTATGCAATGAAATATGCAAGATTAAGAAGTATAAGTGTTGGAAAGAAAAGATAAACACTCTTTATTTGCAAAAGATTTGATCACCTACTTAGAAAAATGCAAGAATAAACTGACCTAATGTTACAGATAGAGTATTCCTAATCCAGAAATCCGAAATGCTCCAAAGTCCGAAACTTTTTGCAGGCCGGCATGACACATACAAAGGAAATGCTTGTTGGGGCGTTTTAGATTTCAGATTTCTGGATTCGGGATGCCGAATCAGCAGATATAAGGCAAATATTCTGAAATCTGAAACGCTACTGGTCCCAAGCATTTTGGATAAGGGATACTCAATCTGTAGAATAGGGTGGTGGAGAAAGAGAGAGTCCAGGATACATAGGACTGGGAGGTGACAGTGACAGATGGACTTGGGGGTGCAGAGGACTGAAGTAGCTCCTGGGGGGTCAGTTGCATCAGGCTTCTGCCCACTGTGCTGGGCACAAAGGATAGGCATTTTGCCCACAAGGAGCCTCAGCCTAGCAGGTAGACCCAGTAAACAAGAAATTGCAGTGTAAGAGCATCAGCGCCACTGGAGCCACGCACGGGGCACTATGAGTGCACAGAGGAGAAGGAGACGCGCGGCTTCCAGGGAAGACGTTACAGAGGAGTTGACCTTGAGCTTGTGCTGACGAACAGAGAGAAGTGCGTTAGGCAGAGATGGAAAGGAAAGGCATCTCACACAGAGGAACAGCAAGTCCAAGGCACAGAGGTGGGCAGGAGGCTGGCGTAGTCGGGAATAAAGGACAGCGCTACGGCTGGAGCACCGAACAGGGAAAGAGGCCAGGCTGGCAAGGTGGTCTGAGGCCTGAGTAGTTTGGGTTTTTCTTTCTTTCTTTTTTTTGAGATGAAGTTTTGCTCCTGTTGCCCAGGCTGGAGTGCAATGGTGCGACCTCGGCTCGCTGCAACCTCCACCTCCCAGGTTGAGGCAGTTCTCCTGCCTCAGCCTCCCGAGTAGCTGGGATTACAGGCACGCACCACCACACCCAGCTAATTTTTTGTTTTTAGTAGAGACAGGGTTTCACCATGTTGATCAGGCTAGTCTTGAACTCCTGACATTAGGTGATCCACCAGCCTTGGCATCCCAAAGTGCTGGGATTACAAGTATGAGCCACTGAGCCTGGTCTGAAGCCTGAATTTAAGAGGCCTTAAAAGGTATGCGAAAGGCTGGGCGCAGTGGCTCACACCTGTAATCCCAGCACTTTTGGAGACCAAGGCAGGCAGATCATTTGAGGTCGGGAGTTCAAGACCAGCCTGGTCAACATGAAGAAACTCCGTCTCTACTAAAAATACAAAATTAGCCAGGCGTGGTGGCTCATGCCTGTAATCCCAACTATTCGGAAGGCTGAGGCAGGAGAATCACTTGAACCTGGGAGGCAGAAGTTACAAGGAGCTGAGATCATGCCATTGCATTCCAGTCTCCAGTCTGGGCAACAAAAGCAAAACTCCATCTAAAAATAAAAGAAAAACGCCGGGCGCGGTGGCTCAAGCCTGTAATCCCAGCACTTTGGGAGGCCGAGGCGGGTGGATCACGAGGTCAAGAGATCGAGACCATCCTGGTCAACATGGTGAAACCCCGTCTCTACTAAAAATACAAAACATTAGCTGGGCATGGTGGCACGTGCCTGTAATCCCAGCTACTCAGGAGGCTGAGGCAGGAGAATTGCCTGAACCCAGGAGGCGGAGGTTGCGGTGAGCCGAGATCGCGCCATTGCACTCCAGCCTGGGCAACAAGAGCGAAACTCCGTCTCAAAACATACATACATACATACATACATAAATAAATAAATAAATAAATAAATAAATAAATAAATAAATAAAAGAAAAAGGAAAAGAAAGGCATGCTAAAAAGTTAAAACTTCGGCTTATAGGCAATGGAGAGGCACTGACTGTTCTAAGGCAGAGGGATGGGATTCAACACAGACTTTAGAGACAAAACTGGCATAGTGTGAAGGGTGGCAGGGAAGAAGCAGGCTGAGAGGCAGTTGGGGACAGGGGAAGCTGAGGGTCTGAGCTAGGCAGGAGAGAGGTTAAGGAGGCTGCAGAAGGAGAGGGCCGGGGATCTGCTGGAACTCGCCATGTGGCTCCTGGTTGGCCGAGGTGAAAGATGGCAGTGCTCTGTGCTCAGGTGGCAGGTGGGAGAGCTGCCAGCTGCTCCCAAGGAAAGAAAAGGGGTTCAGAGTGGTGCCGCCCCTGAGAGCAGCCTCTCCCTTTCCTCTAGGACCCTGCTGTTCTCCCTCCCTTTCTCCCACCTTCCAGCGTATGGCTACGGCTACCACAAGCCTGCAGCCCAAGGCAAAAGCTCAGCAAACCCAGCCCCCAGGATTGAGTGAGTGAATGGCGATTCCATCCCTGTCCCTTGCCACCCTTCTTACAGAAGCAGCCAGTGAGTGCCTGCCTGGTACCAGACATGATGCTTTTTGTTTTTTCTTTCTTTCTTTCTTTCTTTTTAAAGATGGGGTTTCACCATGATGGGCAGGCGGGTCTTGAACTCCTGACCTCAGGTAATCTACCCACCTCGGCCTCCCAAAGTGCTAGGATTACAGGCGTGAGCCACCATGCCCTGCCGCTTTTTTTTTTTTTTTTTTTTTTTTTTTTTTTTTTTTTTGAGACCGAGTCTTGCTTTGTCTCCAGGCTGGAGTACAGTGGTGCAATCTCAGTTCACTGCAACCTCTGTCTCTTGGGTTCAAGCAATTCCCCTGCCTCAGCCTCCTGAGTAGCTGGGACTACAGGCATGTGCCACCACGCCCAGCTAATTTTTTGTATTTTAGTAGAGATGAGGTTTCACCATGGCCAGGATGGTCTCCATCTCCTGACATCATGATCCGCCCACCTGGGCCTTCCAAAGTGCTGGGAGGACAGGTGTGAGCCACCGCGCCAGGTCTCAGACATGATGCTTTATGGCCACCTAGGTGTCCCACAAGCCTGGGAGCTGGATTGTCCAGCTGTGAAAGTGGAGGCTCAGCAGGGTTAGGTCATTCACTCAAGGTCACACAGGAAGTGGCAGAGCCCAGAAGTGGTCACAGTCTGACCTCAAAGCTTGTGTTCTGTCTGTGCCATCCAGAGTCTCAGGGGCAAGCCAGAAAGATGGGGCCTTAGGCCCTGACCTCTGGACTCATCCCTGCCACCCTGCCCTGCCTGACCTCATGGCTGCAGGAGGAGGTCAGGGCATTACTGAGGCATGGGTGGTGGGGGGTGGGCACATGGTGGTGATGGGAGGGCCTGCCCTTCTGGTGAGGAAGGAGGTGACAATTGGCTGGGACTGCAGGGGAGGGCAGGAATGGTCACCGGAAAGGGTCATGGAAGTGGGGAAGGGGAGTGATTGTGCCTCCTCACAGAGGGAGCAGGCTGCAGACAGAGAAAGAGACAACATTATGCACAGGTGTGGGGTGTGCCTGATCTACGGTCTCCTTCCTTAAAATGACTCCATCTAGATCTGTTTGCTTACTGGGGTGTCCCTTAGCTGGGGATGTTCTGAGAAATTGGTCCCAGGGAGGCTAGGGTGCAGGGGTCAAGGGTCAGAGGTCGGGGATGCTGGGACGCAAGGGTCAGGAAGGATGCTGAGACATTGCTTTTGGACTTGTAGCTTCTCCTGGGCTCTACCCGGCAGTAACCACAGCCAAGCAGGGGAAGACAGTGGCCAAGGCCACTCCATTCCCAGGGACCTCCCGATACGGGCACGAAGGAAACTCACAGTGCACAGGGACCTCTCCTCACGCAGCGACCTCTCCTCCTGCAGGGAGCTCCCGCCCCGTCATGCACCTGGACTCCACCTCAGCTGAGGACGCCAGTCCTGCTCTCAGCAGCGGCAGCTCTAAGCCCAGGTGAACCCCAGGGCTCCCACATCCCCTTTCAGGCCATCGCTAAACCATAAGGTGCCTTTGAGCAAATAGGAACCCAGTGCTCTTTCCTCCAAGTGGACTCATCCACTTGTCATGGCCACAGCCTGCAGCTGTGGCCCTTGAGCAGTGGACAGCTTGCACTGTAGGACCAGCAGCCCTGCTGCCTGTCCAGGGTGAAGGGTCACCAAGGTCCCAGCCCCCACATCTCTCCCTGCCCCCACCTCAGGCACAGCCACCCCAGTCGGGGGCTCCTGCCTATGTACTTTGCACCAAGCCCTGTGCCCAGCATGAAAATTCAGAATCCAAAAGAAAACAACTTTTGTCCTTACAACTGGAGTCCCAGCCTGAAGGGCTGGATCTTGGGGGTTGTAACTGCACTCAGCTATCAACATCCGGGCAGCTGCTGGCAAGTTCAGACCCTGCTGGAAGTGAACCCTGGGGTTGGCAATGGGGGCAGTGGCGCCTTCCATGCCAGATGGTGCTGATGGGACATCGTGGCCCTTAGTGCACTCTCATCTTGGGAGAGACAAAAGATATGGCTTGACTCACAGTTAGAATGCCAGGATGCCCCCCACGCCAGTGCCAGTGACACCAGCCCAGACACAAGCTGCTGAGAATTTCCCTTCACACCATTGGGTGACCTAGCAAGTCGCTCGTTGCTTCAAATGTCAGTTTCTCCAGGGTGAAATTGGGCCACTTCTGCCTAGTCACACAGGGATTGTGGAATTTGACAGCTAACAATGACAGGGTGCCTGGCACGTGTCTGGCTCTGAACTAAGCGCTTTACACAACCTGACCTGTTTGATCCTCACTGCAGCCATTTTACTAAGGAGGACATTGACACCCTGGGAGGTTTAGTCACTTACCCAAGGTCTAGAAGGTGGCAGAGCTAGAGTTTGAACGCAGGCAGCCTGGTTTCAGGGTCTGTGCTAATTAAATAATGTTTGTCAAGAGCCAGTAGCACTAAATGCTCCTGCTCCCTGCCCTGCCCCCACAAGTCTTGGCTGCATTGAATTGGATTTCACTCTAGGGATTGGCTTTCTGAGCCTGTACCTGGGACCCCCAAAGGACGTAGACTCTGGCTTGTCTGGTAACAGCCACTAGGCTCCTTGTGTCTCATCTCCAGGTTGTCCATCCCATTGGTCCGCATCCTGGCCCCAGTCCTGGTGCTGCTAAGCCTTCTGGGGGCCGCAGGCCTAATCGCCTTCAGCAGCCATCTGCTCCGGTGGAGAAAGAAAGGTAAGCAAAGGTGGGTGGGAGGAAGGCGGGAGGCTCAGTGGGCCAGGGGCCTCACTGAGACCTGCAGCTCCCCACCCAGCCCTGGAAAGACCTTGTGAGCCTCCGCGTGTCCATCTGAGATATGGTAGTCAGGAGCTGTGCCCTCCCTTCTGAGGGTCCCACGAGGCCGTCAACCTTAGGAAAGCAATTCGCAAGGGGAAATGGGAGAATGAAGGGTTCTCAGCTTCTTCCTGCCGGTCTGAACTGATCAAGCACTTCTCTACCTATTGACCCCAGGGAATTCCCAGCAATCCCAGAGATTGCCAACTCCTTGTGTGGGAACCCACTGCCAGGGACAATGCAGGGCCAAGCACTTGAACTTGAGCAGGACTGACAAGGTGACCCCACTCCTGCCACTGGGTCTCTAGTGCTGCTCAGTCCCTTCCATAGGCTGAGGCTCAAATCCAAGCTCTACCACTTTTGAGCTGTGCGACCTAAGGCAAGTCGCCTAACTGCCCTAAGCCTCATTTACCTAAAATCACAGATACACATCAAACAGAAATAGAATACAAGCCACAAATGTAATTTAAAACTTTCAAGTAGCCACATTTTTAAAAATTAAAAAACAAAACAAAACAAAACTAGTGCCGTTAAATGTATTTTATTTTAATTATTTATTTTTTAGAGATAAGGTCTCACTCTGTCACCCAGGCAGTGATGTGATCATGGCTCACTGCACCCTTGAACTCCAGAGCTCAAGTGATCCTCCTGCCTCAGCCTCCCGAGTAACTAGGACTACAGGCAAGAGCCAATATGCCCAATCTAGTGAAGTTAATTTTAATAATGTAGTTTATTTAACCCAACATATCCAAAACATTATCATTTCTAGATGGAATCAATATGAGCAAATCAATGATGGCGAGGTGCCGTGGCTCACACCTGTAATCCCAGCACTTTGGGAGGCTGAGGCGGGTGGATCATGAGATCAGGAGATCAAGACCATCTTAGCCAACATGGTGAAATGCCATCTCTACTAACATACAAAAATTTAGCCAGGCGTGGTGGCGCGTGCCTGTAGTCCCAGCTACTGGGAAGGCTGAGGCAAGAGAATCATTAAACTCTGGAGGCGGAGGTTGCAGTGAGCCAAGATCGCGCCACTGCAAGACTCTATCTCGAAAAAAAACCAGAAAATATCAGTGATACATGTTCTACTTTCACGTTTTTCATATTGAGGCATCAAAACCCAGTCTAATATGAAGGAGTCACATTTCAGTGCCTGATGGCCGCATGTGGCTCCTGGCTCCTGTTCTGATGGCAAAGACTAAAAGGATTAACGGAAATCTCAGTAATAAGAGCTACCACGTGGCAGGCACTATCCCAGCTTATCTCGCTTATCCCGTTTAATCTCCTCCACACTGTGGAGAACATTTTCTGGGAGAGCACACCCATTTTCCAGGGAAGTACATCCATTTTCTGGGGAGTATACCCATTTTCCAGGGAGTACACCCATTTTCCACGGGGAGACACGAACACAGAGTGGTTACGCAGCTCGCCCTTTGTTTGCATAGCTAGGAAGTGGTGGAGCCAGGAAGATCATCACAATGTCATCCCCATGGATATGGCCACAGGGGAGTCCTGGGCCCACTTTCTGTCTCTTCCATGAGTGGCTTCTAGGAGGAGATGTGGGTTTTGTCCAGGTCCCCTCTGAAGAGTTCAGCGCGGGAGCATTCCTGGTCACAGCCTCAGAGCCACTTAGCACCCTGCCTCTCAAACTGTGATCACCAGCCCTCAGCAGCGGCAACCCTGATAGTCTGCTAGAAATGCAGACCCTCAGACCCTCACCCCAGACTACTGAACTAGACTCTGCACTGTACGAAAATGTCCAGGGGGTCCTATGTGCACACTAAGGCTGAAGAAGCTACGTCCTTAGCACACAGATTTATTTTCCCGGCCAGTTTCCGGCCCTCATGAGATTATCTCCATGTACTTATCTCGGAAGACTGGATTATTCCCAAAGGTCTGAGCTGGAAGGGGCTCCTCTGCCCGTCTGGCTGCCTCCTCCCTCTGGGAAGCCCCTGCTGCCATGTGCAAGGGGCCCAGTCCACCTCTCTTGGAGCAGCTACAGGCCATTCCTCACTACTCATGGCTTCAAGGGGCTCCTCCTTCTACATCTCTTTCAGCTCAACTGGCCACAGAGACACAGAGGAACGAGAAGGTCTACCTCTCACACTTGGTAAGGACAGAGGCATATGGAAGCCCAAGCTCGGATCCCTGTGGGGCTGGGAGTCAGGATTCCTGGCTCTGCCTCTGTGACTTCCTACCTGGCCCTCCATGCCTTGGGGCTCACACAGACTCCTGCCCCAAGATCAGCCCTTCAGGGTGTGAGCTAGACAGAGTGCCCATAGGGGACTTACAGGTAGGAACCTCATTTCCCACTGGGTGCCAGGCAGGGTGGACACCAGGATCCATGTGAGCATCTTCACCAGGCACCTTCTTTCCATCCCACCTTTGAGAATCATAGAACATCAGAGCTGGGTCCAGAGGAAGCCTTTGAGGTCTCTAGCCCGACCTTTCTCTCAGTTTGAAGCAAATCCCCTTTCAGAACACCCAGGGGTGAGGGCCCCAGCCCCAGGTGAACCCTCCAGGGGTTGGGTCCGGGGACTCTGGCAATGCTACAAACTCTAGTGTGCTTTTGCAAAAGATGAAACTGAGGCCCAGAGTGGGTAAAGGCCTTGCTGTGGTCACACAGCAGGTGGTGGTCCACGTGGAGAACAGGACCCAGATTTCTTGACTCCCCGCTCTTCTCTTTGCAGAATGCCCTCATGTTTTCTCTGAGCCTTCCTTGGCTCTGACACCAAGGTAGCATGGCTGCCCTAGGACCCAGGCTGAGGGCGGTGCTCTGGGGACCAGGGGGCAAGACAATAGGGGTCCCTGTGCCCATTGTCGGGAGCAGGGCACCTGCCCCAAGGCTACTGCTGCAAGGAGAGACTGGGCCCTCCGAGGCCCGGGCTCCAGCCTGGGGGAGGGGGTGCTGCGGCATCGCAGTTCAGGACACAGAAGCCCCATCTGGGCCCTCCGCCCTCCACTGTTGACTGAGATGCCTCCACTCATTCCTTTAAACACAAGGGCAGGAAAAGGGAGCTATCATTGCCTTCTTTCCTGGCGCCAGTGAGGACAAAAGACTCAGGCCTGGTCCCCCAGGGAGGACTTGGGTGGGAATGGGACTTTGGGCTGTTATAGGAAGCAGTTGTTGTCGTCTCAGGAAGCTCAACACGGCCAAAGGTGGCGGAGGGGAGTGAGGGAAAAGTCACGGAGACACATGGATGGACAGACCGGGGTGCCACTGATCGCCTCCAAACCAGCCTCCTGGCTCTGGGCCTGGGACCTGGGGCTCACCCCACCTAGCTCTGGAGGAGGGGCTGGGGTCCAAGGAGGCTGAGAGCTCCTGTACCAGCCACAGCTCCCATGCTGCTGCCTTCCGGCCACCCTGGGAAGGGCTGCTTTGGGCTTTCTCTGCCGAGGCACCTGACCCTGCTTCTGCTGAAGAGGGAGGGGACAGTAAGGGGCACAGGGCCAGCAGGCAGAGGGGCTGGCCCTTGTTGAGGAAACGATGGAACAGAGCACCCCAGGAGGGTCAGAGGCAAGAACGCTGTAAACACCATCAGGTGCGGCCTTCTTTGTCTTATTTCGCTTGTGGCCTCTCCATAGGTTTGAGCAGAGTCTGGAGGTGGAATTGAAGGGATCTGGGGTTTTCTTAGCCCACATTCAGGTCAAAGAGAATGAGGGGGTGTATTACTTTTACCTTGAGAGAGCCTCACAGGGGTGTGAAAACCCTGAGGGAAGTGTTGGGGATCAGACCAGCATTTTCTTTCCCAAAGAGATCTTGCTGGAAGGATTGCCATCCATCCATTCATCCACCTTTTTCTTTCTTTCTTTTTTTTTTTTTTAATTGAACACCTGCTATGTGTCAGGAGCTTTATATACGCCATTGAATCCTCATAATTCCTACACGAGCTAGGCATTATTATTCCCCCCATTTTGCAGATGAAGAAATAGAGGCTCAGAGAGAAAAGGGACTTGCCCACAGTGACCCAGCCTGAAAGAGGCAGAACCTGGAAACCTAACTGAGGTCTGTGAGGCTGGCTGCAGCGCCCTCTGCATCCTCCACCCCGCTGCACTGAAGTACAAGGGGTTTGAGGAATGGCGCCAAGGTCACAGCCCAAGACCCCTCCCCCAGATTCAGGAGAAAGAGCTTGGGACAGCTGCAGACCCTCACTCCTGGAAATGAATAGCCTGCTAAGCTCAGATCAGAACTCAGCCCTGGCTACCCAAGACTTCCCTCTTTCTTTGCCACATTTATTACTAGTACCTAGAAACGAGCTCTGATATATATCTTGCATATTTAGCAACCCAGAAAATGCCTCTATGCTTGCTGGAACAGGACCGATCGCCCACAGTGGAGGCAGAGGGCAGGGGAGAGGTCGCGAATCACACGGGACATGCGGTAGTGGGCCTCGCCGCTGCCTGGGTGTGCGGTTTGGCCTCTGTACCGCAAGGCTCTTTCCTCAAACTTGGTCACCCTGGAACAGGGGATGCTTCTGCAGCTGCTGGTGGTCCAGGGTCAGCAGTGGCTGGGTTATGATCAAATTGCAAAGCCGAAATTATGGATTCATGGGTCTGATGTCAGGAGTCCTCTGGTCTAGCCCCAGCTCTGCCCTGCACCAAGAACCCCTCTGTCCTCACCATGGACGGGGCTAGGAGGGACAAGAGCCCTGAGTGGCAGTATTTGGGAATCGCCTTACCGCTCCCAGTCCCCTCATCTGCCAGCCACGCTTCCCCCAGGGAATTCTGCTCCGATTCCTACCTTGTCCCCAGAAGACTGAATATGTCATCCCTGTGTTTCTTTCTTTCTTTAGTATATTTTTTATCTTTTTAAAGTTTTAGAGAAATGGGGTCTCACTATGTGGCCCAGGTGGGTCTCAAACTTCTGAGCTCAAGCAGTCCTCCAGCCTCAGTCTCCCAAAGTGCTAGGATTACAGGCGTGAGCCTCCACACCCAGCCTTCATCTCTGCATTTCTAACAAGAGATGGCTCAAACATCCACGCCTCTACCCCCATCCCTAGCAGCTAGGTATTGAGAGAAGCCGGGGCCAACTTAGTAAACCACAGACACTGAGCCCAAGAGAAATGTGTCACACGCCTTGCCAGGATGGCAGCAGGGTATGGGAAAGAGCTTGAGTCTGTGGTCAGTTTCCAGCATGAGTCCCAGCCCAGCCATTTGCCAGCTGTGTGATGTCAAGCAAGTTGCATCTGCTCCCTGAGCCCCTGTTGCCATAGCTCACATGCTCGTAAATAGGAAAGAGTGAGATGATATACCCCACAGATGCCCAGAAAATGGGAGTTTCTTTCTCTGGTATCACTGCTCATTGGACCGTGGGATTCGCTGTCCAGGAAACCTCAGGGCAGCCTGTGGCCTTGGGAGTCTTGGCTGGGGGCCTTGGCCGGCTCCAGCCTCTGCTCTGCCCGCTTGCCAGGCAAAGGGAGCTTGAGATGGATGGGCCTGGCATTCCTGATCTGAGGACCCATGGGAGCAGCCGGGCCCGGGTCAGAATATGGGCTTCCCCACTGACCCTGGACTACCTGCTCTCTTCCCTGGGCCATGGTCTCCTCATCTGGTGGGTAATGGATTGCTCAGACCCATCATCTCAAGAATTTTTCATGTGCCCTTGTTATTCAATGAATCTTTGGAGTGTCCAACTTTGCTGTCTCCTGGCTGGTCACAGAGAACCTGCAGCTAGCATGATCTTTCTGCTTTACAGAATAGAATATAATGAAAACAGTCATTCCAGAAGTTCTCATTGGCTGAGTGGCAGGATGCTCTTATGAATATTATAATCCCAAAGGACAAATTCTTACCGGGTTTTACAGCTGAGGAAACTGGGCTTCCAAGAGGTTAGACAGCTTGTCCAAGGTCACCCTGAGGGGTAGGAAGTGGCAGAGTCACGCAGGAGCTTAGTGTTCTTCCCCTCGTGGCGCCTCCCACCTTGCCCACCCCCTCCCACCTTTCTCTCCTCTCGCTTGGGCTTGGCTGGGCTCGTAGACCCTCCCTGCTGCCAAGAGCAGGCTGTTCTGACCAAGTCTCTGTGACAGCCGCTGGGGAATAGCCAGGACCCAGAGGACGCCAGAAGCAGCCTTGCAGGGCCCATGGGGCCTCTCACCATCCCCGAGCCCTCTGCCAGCCTCTACACAGAGATCCAGTATCTAAGCCAGGTACGGACAGAGGGACAGAGGGCCCGGGAGCGGGAGGGGCTGCGGAGCCCCCTTGCCTGCCTCCACTCAGACAATGTGAGGAAATGGAAGAAGGCCTTCCCTCCACATCCGCTCCCCAAACCCCAAACCCCCGCATCCGCCCACCTGCCCCCTCACAGCCGTGGGCCAAGCCCATTTCACCCGGGAAGCCAGTGACCTCACATTGTCTTTTTTCCGGTCCAGAAAATTCCTGAATAGCTGGTTGGGAGTCCCGGCTGATAGAGCTGTGGGCTGCCGGGAGGCCACGTCTGCGTCAGAACCCAGCCTGGGGCCTTGAGGGCGCCCCCGGGGATGGACGGACTGGGGATATGAGAGGCCAGGAGTCAAAGCCTGGGGGTTCCTGGGAGACGTTGTTGGGTCCCGTGCCCCTGCAGAGGGGTGGGTGCAGCAGCTACCTAGGGACCACCTCTCACACCTGCCACCCCTCGTCTGGGTTCTGCTCTCCAAACCCCACTGTTGTCTTTACAGACCACAGAAAAAGAGGAAGCCCCTTCCCAGGCCCGGGAGGGGGACGTGGTGTCGCCTCCCCTCCACACGTCTGAGGAGGATCAGGAGGATCTGGGCTTCTCCAAGTTTGTCTCAGCGTAAGGCAGGAGGCCCTCCTGGGTGACGGCCGGCCGTGAAGCAGGGTGGCTGGATCTGCACCGACTCCGGAAAGCTTTCCGCCTCAGCCTCAGAGTCCAGCTGCCCAGACTCCGGGCTCTCCCCACCTTCCCCAGGCGCTCCACCCGCATGCTCCAGCCACACCTCCAAGCGTTTGTCAGCCCTGGAGCCCAGAGCGGTGGCCTTGCCCTTCCCGCTGGAGACTGGGACATTCCCTGATACGTTCCTACCCCTGGCCAGGTCAGCCGGCTGAGGACCCTCAGCAGGGCCAGGCAAGGCTCAGAGGATCTGGTCTGAGTTGCTATCTGCTCCAGGAACTCCCCTGGGCCTCGTGCCCAGCGTCAGACCCCACCTTCTCCTCCCTCCCTGGCGTCCTCAGACTCAGTCCCACGAGTTCCTGCATCAGCTGGTGATGAGTGTAAGGCAGGTTGCCTCGCCAGGAGGTCGGACACACCCACCCCTGCACTCAGCACCTGACTCTGCACCCGGCACCAGGCTCTGCACTCGGCACCTGGCTCTGCACTCGGCACCTAGCTCTGCCGCATGGCTCCCTTGGAAGGCTCTGGCTGGCCGGCTCTGGCACCGGAAAACCCGCCCAACAACCCGCCAATCAATAGCGGCCCGCCCCGTCTCAATCCTGCTCCCCTGGACCCAAACAGCACCCAGCTGTTGCTCATTCCTCCTAGCCATAAAAACCTCGCCCAGGAGCTGAATAAATTGGCATTTAATTTTCTTACACTGGCCTCAGTTTCCTCATTTTAAACTCGGCAATAACCCTTACAATGAGGAGGAGCAGGCTGGGGTGAGACTGGGATTCGAGCATCTCTGTGAACCACCCGCACCCCCAGCCCTTCGGGAATGCTTGTGAAAAATGTGATTCCTGCGCCCCACCAAGACCCGCCAAAACCATCTCTGGGGCTTGGTGCAGGACTCTGAATTCCTAACAGTGCCCAGTGATTGTTGCACTTGAGTTTGAGGGGGTGCCTGATGAACGCTCAGACCCCTCTAGCTTAGAGTTTGCATTTGGGGTGTAGTGTCTCCCACCTGCCCCCATAAGATCTGCTCTGTCCAGGACACCATGACCCATCTGGGGACTTCCCTCAGGTCTGCCTAAGTCCAGGCTCAGGTCAGGTCAGGCGCACATTGGAGGGGTAAGCCCAGGACTGGCAGACAGCGCTTGCCTTTCCATTCTCCCTCCCCGGCCATGCCTTCTTGCCTTTGGAAAAATGATAGAAACCTTTGCTCCTTCCTTGTCTAGAAAGAGTTACTTGCCTATGGGTTCTGGTGGCTAGAAAGAAGAGTAGTCAACAGAGCGCATGTGGGTGTCTAAAACAGAGGGGAGTAGGAACAGGGCAGACACCTGAAGGTGACTCTGAGTCCAGCCAGCCCCCTGGAGAAGGGGCTGGGGGTGGGGCTAAAGTAGTACTACTACCGTTTTTTTTTCTTTCTCTCTCTCGCTTTTTTTTTTTTTTTTTTTTAGATGGAATTTCGCTCTTGTTACCCAGGCTGGAGTGCAATGGCGCGATCGCGGCTCACCACAACCTCCGCCTCCTGGGTTCAGGCAATTCTCCTGCCTCAGCCTCCTGAATAGCTGGGATTACAGGCACGCGCCACCATGCCCAGCTGATTTTTTGTATTTTTAGTAGAGACGGGGTTTCACCATGTTGACCAGGATGGTCTCGATCTCTTGACCTCGTGATCCACCCGCCTCGGCCTCCCAAAGTGCTGGGATTACAGGCTTGAGCCACCGCGCCCAGCCTTTTTTTTTTTTTTTTTTTTTTTTTTTAATGAGACAGAATCTTGCTCTCTTACCCAGGCTGGAGTGCAGTGGGGCGATCTTGCTCACTGCAACCGCTGCCTTCCAGGTTCAAGCGATTCTTCTGCCTCAGCCTCCTGAGCAGCTAGGATTACAGGTGCACATCACCACACCCGGCTAATTTTTGTATTTTTAGTAGAGACGGGGTTTCACCATGTTGGCCAGGCTGGTCTCAAGCTCCTGACCTCAAATGATCCTCCTGCCTCAGTCTCCCAAATTGCCAGATTACAGGCGTGAGCCATGCACCTGGCCCTATTTCCTTTAAAAAGCGAAATGAGGAGTTGTTCAGTATGTAAAACTCATAAAGATGGAGACATAAAAGAAAAGGAAGAAAAAAAAGTCACCCATAGCCTCACCAGAGACAAGCATTATTTCATTTTGTTATATTTCCTTCCACCCTTTTCTTCTCTACATAATTTGCTAGTGTTCTTTTTACAGAGCAATTATCTTGTATATACAACTTCATAGCCTGCCTTTCCCACTTTATGATTCCATCACTTTATTCCAGCACTTCTCTGTTTTACAAACCTTTTATAAATAAAACGTTGGTCAGCTGCATATTCCATTCTATCAGTGTGTCTCAATTTATTTAACTGATCCTCTATCACTCGGTATTTAATTTGCTTCCATTTTTGCTATTGGAAATAAGTGTGAGTGAATCTTTGCCTGAGGCTTTATCTGCATTGGGAGGAGATTTCTTTCTCTCTTTTTCTTTCTCCTTCCTTCCTTCCTCCCTACTTCCTTCTCTCTCTCTTTCTTTCTGAGATGGAATCTTGCTCTGTCCCCCAGGCTGGAGTGCAATAGCGCCATCTTGGCTCACTGCCCTCTGCCTCCCAGGCTGAAGTGATTCTCTCCTGCCTCAGCTTCCCAAGTAGCTGGGACTACAGGCATGTGCCATCACGCTCCACTAATTTTCACATTTTTAGTAGAAACAGGTTTCACCATATTGCCCAGGCTGGTCTTGAGCTCCTGACATCAAGTGATCCACCTGCCTCGGCCTCCCAAAGTGCTGGGATTACAGGCATGAGCCACCGCACCCAGCCGAAAGATTTCTTAAAGAAGGATTTGCATGCGTGGAAGTGCCAGATCCATAGCGAGTGAACATTTTTGACGTTACTGACGCCTCTTGCTGAACAGTATTCTGGAGTGGCAGCACCAATTTCCCGCCCACCAGGGCCTCGCAATCAGTGTTCCTTGAAGTCCTCTTAACCTGTCCCTGCAGGAAAGGCAGGAGAAGCAGTGCAACAGTGCCCCTGTGATCAGAACCTCAAGGACCGGGGGAACTGGGTGGAGGTGGAGCTGGTCTGATGAAGGAAAAGCAGCTGATTAGAAGGTGCCCCCCAGTGCCCAAGGTCCCTGGGCTGGGGTTGCACCAACTTTCTCCAGGTGGAGAGGGAGCTCCCAGGCCCGAGCTCTGCAGGCTGCACCCAGGCTCCAGGCACTGTGTGTGCCAAGGTGTTTGGGACGTAGGGAGCAGCAAGTTTCAGATGGTCCCACATCTTCTGCTGGGATCTGGGCACATACACTGTCAAAATGCACCCTAGAAGTGCATCAAAAGCAGGCTTCCCCCCGGAAAAAAATCCCTTGGTTGAGGTTTCCCGGAAAGGAAAGAACCCTCCTGTCCTCTCAATCTCTCCTCACCTACTGCAGCCAGGGCTTCCTGGGAACCAGGAGGTGGTCAGCAGGGCCATCCCCCTCCCATCCTTTCCATTGGCAGACGAGGCTACATATATGGACATCTTTTGTGAGGCAGAGCTCTCTCCCAGGCAGCCTAGGATTGGCATTCATGGAATTCCAGGTTTCAGTGGATTTATGAGACATGCAAATATTATTCAGAGACACTCTTTTTTTTTTTGTTTTGAGACAGAGTTTTGCTCTTGTTACCCAGGCTGGAGTGTAACGGCGCGATCTCGGCTCACCGCAACCTCTGCCTCCTGGGTTCAGGCAATTCTCTTGCCTCAGCCTTCTGAGTAGCTGGGATTACAGGCACGCGCCACCACACCCAGCTAATTTTTTGCACTTTTTAGTAGAGACGGGGTTTCACCATGTTGACCAGGATGGTCTCGATCTCTTGACCTCGTGATCCACCCGCCTCAGCCTCCCAAAGTGCTGGGATTACAGGCTTGAGTCACCGCGCCTGGCCAGAGACACTCTCTTATTCCCACAGTACCACCAAGAGGGCCCAGCTCCTTCCTGACAGGCAGGGGAGAAGGACCACTCCCAAGTTGCCACTTGGCAATCCCCCATTTGGATACACCTTGGTTTTAAGTTTGTACACGAAGATTCAGATCTGCAGTCTTTGGTATTTACGTGAGATTCTATTCAATACCCTTAAATGAAAGAATGCAACAAGTCACTGCTCACCTACCCTGAGAATGAGGGTTTCCAGTTTGGGGACTTTTGTTGGGAGGTAAAACTTCAGAAAAAAATGGAGGAATATTGAAGAATTGCAAACATTTAGTTTTGCCAAATGGGACAGTAAATATAACAAAAATAACAAACTATCATTTACCAGTCCATCCATTTCCTTAAAAGAAACTTTTTTTTTTTTTTTCGAGATGAAGTTTTTGCTCTGTCACCCAGGCTGGAGTACAGTGGTGCGATCTTGGCTCACTACAACCTCCACCTCCTGGATTCAAGCGATTCTTCTGCCTCAGCCTCCCCACTAGCTGGGGACTACAGCCATGCACCACCACGCCGGGCTAATTTTTGTATTTTTAGGAGAGACAAGGTTTCACCATGTTGACTAGGCTGGTCTTGAACTCTTGACATTAAGTGATCCACCCGCCTTGGCCTCCCAAAGTACTGGGATTACAGGTGTGAGCCACTGCGCCCAGCCAAAAAGAAATATTTTAACACCAAAATGGATGATTTAAGCCCTCTCTTCCCCACCTTACTCTCAACAAAGAATTGGAAACTATGATTCTAATCCACTGAGGTCTATTAAGGAGAAATTTCTAAATTCATCCAGGAAGTGGGTGGGGGAGGGGCATATGGGGGGAAAGAAAACAGAAACAGAGAAGGTGGAAAGTGCCTAAGACATTCCGGGGGCTGCGATGTGCTTTGGGGGAGTCGTCCCAGGAGCAGGGAAGAGCTCTCCAACAGTATCACTTCAAGGTGTGACAGGCA